ACGCTCCTCCTGTATGTTTTTTTCTTGGCGCACGCGGGGGGGGGGACAGGTGGAGGGAGGGCGCGCATCACGATCCTTACCAGGGACGTGCGAAATGGTAACCTCGCCTGCCAAGTTGAGCATTTCGCAGGCCTCCTCAGCGCCGAGCCTCAAGGGGGGCAGCTGCCATCCTTCTTTCCGGAGCCCGGAGCGCCGCGGCGGAGCGCCGGACGTGCCCGCATCGCCTGGCCGCCACCGCCTCGGAGAGGCAGGGCTGGCTATCCGTGCAAACCGGGTCTGGAGGGGGGGCGCGGGGAGAGAAGAGGCAGGGATGCAGGAGGGGCAAGGATGCAGAAAAGAGGAGGAGGAGGAGGAGGAGGGAGAGGGAAGGGTAGGTGGGTGGGGGGGAAAAGTGACACAGGACCCGCCAGGTTAGCGCCCAAACCACAGCCAAGCAACTTTGCAACAAATCAGTGCTCTTGACAGCGCTTTAGCCTCAGCAAACTTATCAGATGGGGAAGTTGCAAAAATCCGTCTCCAGGAGAGACTTTAGCCGGTCCAAGACAGACAGGCCCTCCAAGGGGGGGTGGGGGCTTGATCCGGAGTAAGCGTGCCTAGACTTTGGGATCGCCGGTGCTCCACTCCACTCTACCACCGGTCACAAAGAACCTCCGGCCAGAGCAAAGCCCGGACACGCTTTACTTGGAAAGTAAGCCCTGCGCAAGGTTCCACTGCAGGCTCACCTCGCTCCCTGAACTGCTGCCACCAGAGTGGAGTTCCCCCCGTGGGAAAAGAGGGCTGGGAGTTCTCTAACTCTCCCTCTCAGTCTCTTTCTGCCTTGCTGCTTGGGAGAAAGTCCTACGGAACTCAAGGAGACTGGCTTGGCAGGCAACCAAGAGATACAGGCCCCCACCCACCCACGCCCAAGGGCGGCCGGGACCCCAGCCACAGTTATTCGGGAGTGAGCCTCGTGAATCTAGAGAGCGTTCACTTCCGAATGTGCCTAGCACACCTGCTAAGCAGAGCCCTGGATTAATTAATTAATTATTTTTTTATTTGCCTCGTAAAGCAAAGCAGAGGGAAAGATTAAGCCCGCTCTCCTCCCGCCCTGGCTGAGCCCCAGCGGCCGGGGCTTCTCCACCAGCCTCAGCTCCACCGACCCAGGCAGGATTTTTTTGGGGGGGGGATCACCCTCTCTTGCTCCCCCCCTTCCAAAGAGCCCTCAGCGCCAGGCAGAAAGCGCTGCTGCCCCTCTCTCTGCCGTCTCTCCCATTCAGCCGATGGATGGATGGATGATGGTTACTCACTGCATTGGCCCTCCACATAATTCCAAGCGTGAAATCCTCCCAGTCATTTCAAACGGATTCCTGGGCACCGGGCAGAACTGCGTGTCTCGCTGGCGCTCCCTCGGTCTCGCTCTGCTTTTCCCCTTCCCGCCTCGCCTCTGCTCGGTGCGTTATGCGTGTGGTTCTTTCCTTTTTCGGACCTGAGTCTTTTTCCTTTCCCCTTCTTGTTTTCCTGCAAAGGGTCGTGCTGGTGGCTGCTTTTGCAGAGCGTGTCTGTTTAATCCTCCGGCTTCAGCGCAGGTGCCTGCTCGCGAGGAGGAGAGGAAGGAGGAGGAGAGGCAGTGGCCGTGCAGGCGGCGAGGGGGCCACGCCAGGCTGCTCCCTGGGGCTCCCGAGCCATCCACCGACCGGCCACGCACACCCATACACCCACACGCCCGCACACACACACACGCACAGAGATGCACCTCCCCCCCCCTCCGGCCAGTTGCTGAACCTGCCTCCGTCCGATCAAGTTTCCCCACCGGGCCGAGCCCTTCCTCTTCCTCGCCCGGGCTGCGTCCTGGGCGCGCGGGATGCTCAGCCGCCAGCACCTCCTTCCTCAGCTGGGCTGGCCACCCAAGACGCGCCAGAGCCGGGAGGGGTGGCGGGAGAGGATGGGTGGGGGGGGGGGAGAAAGGGGGTCTGCCTCTTCTCGGCTGCAGTCCAGGGGCACCAACCGGGCAGGAGCTGCAGCGGGG